TTTGTCTATGTTCTGGCTTTATTTAGGTTCTTTTTACTGTAGCTTTCTTTTATTTTGTTATTTTTTCAATTTTTTGAAGAATCGTCAGAAAAAGAATTTGTTGAAAGAGAATTTTACATAATTAGCAAAACATTTTTTAAAGATATCTTATGATCCACAAGACCAATTTTGATGATTTAACTACTATTAGATTCATATTAATGAGCTCTACAACTTCAATTAGAAGCCCAAAAGTAGTTAACTTAATATAAAAAAAAGTTTTATAATAATGCAGCCTATATTTACAAAATTCTAATTTTTATATATAAACTACATCATGTTTATACATATCGATGAAATTATTTTAAGTTTTGGGGTATAAAATTAAAATTTGAAAATAAAATCGTTTTTGACCTAAAGACAAAATTTTTTGACACTTTTTTTGAAGAAATGAAATTATAAAGAAGTTAACTATCTAAATTGGATTTTTTTTTGTATATAAAAAATTTCAAATTGCTTTAATAGAGACAAAATAGGGTTTTTTGAAAACCTATTTTGGTGGTATGTATAATTACATTATACTATGACCTCTTACTAGTTGACTAGCAAATCACTAATTAATTCTTTTTTTTTAGTTTACTTTGTATAAAAACCAAAGAAACTAAGAAAAATAAATCTAAGTTTGTATTAGATTTTAACTAAGAAAATGCTTAACTACTAAAAGTAAGCTTCTAACCAACTTCTTTTGAAGATATTATTCTCTTATTAAAAAACTCTGATATATTATTTCAAATATTTGTCTTAACAAAATACTAATATTTCAAATATCATACAATCACAGTATTAGCAGAATATCTTCATTTCAAAATTAATTATTATAAAAAGCCCAATTTTTCAAATTAACAAGCTTGATAAGGTTTTAAATTATACCAAAATATTTATTTATAAATAAAATATATGATGTTGTAGAGAATGAAAAAATAGCAACAAATATAAACAAATTTAAAACTAATATACTGGTAGATAATCTGCTTTGTATTACTAACTTGAATATCTGGTTCTTAAAAATACTGTGAATAATTATAAAACATAATTTTTGTAAATCATTTAATTTACTAAAAGCTTGTGTTTTATTAAAAACCAAAAATTATTTACTATATAAAATAATTATTAAAAAAAGCTTTATGTTTCTGCAGATTTTAAATTTGTAATTACTAATTAAAAATTAAATATAGTGACTATAGAGATCTAAAAATTTAATATTTTCGATTATTTGCCAAATCTATATTTATTCTAAAAAAAAATTTTAAATAGAATAAATATATTAAAAGCATCTATTTACCAAGTAGTTTTAAAAAAGCACAAATTGTTGCAAATATTATTGCTTATAAAGATGAGAATATATATGCTACTAATAATAAAGAACCTGTTAATAAGACTATATTTGCTATATATATTTTTTTAATTTATAATATTTTACAAAACAGAGATTTTTAGAAATATTAGACCAAACTTAGTTGTGGTTTACCAAAAATAAAAGTTATTATTAAAAGATAGCTAGAAAAAATAGTAAGTAAAAAAGTAAAACCAAACAGGAGAAAAATAGTATTAAATATATTAGCTAATATTCGTAAATTTTTTGTGCTATAAACAATCTGATATATATGTATATAATTTAATAAATTCTGTCAAGAGTTTAGATACTTGTAGTATAACATATTGTAAGAACAGTATCATTTATCACCTGATTTTTTTTATTAGAGGCTTATTCTCTTTCTCTCTTTTATTATATATCTTAATCAGGTCTTTATATATAATTTTAAATTTTTTACTCCTCCTCCTCCTTAAAAAATTACCTGATTTTTGTTATGTTTCTAATATATTTAAATAAGCTTTTTTGGTTTTATATTATATTTTCAGTTAGAGTTCATAGTTATAGGCTTTGAAAGATTATCCTATATATAAAATTATATTCTAAATATCTTTTTGTATATGTGTTTTGTTTTGATATTAGGCTGATCTGAGATAATCAAAATTTATATATTCTGATTAGCTATTTCTTATATATCACATCATATTATTATAAAAGTATTTAAACTTTTAATAAGATTTAGAAAACTCAGGTTAGACCTTTGGATAGTATTTAAGATATGCTCTGCTACAAGTGTTGGCCACAATCATAGTGATAACTACAGGATAGCAAAAAAAAAACTTACTTGCTAGTCAATTTCATCTATAATAGTTTAAATAAAATCTTATTTTAGTAACTGTTCAAGTAAAATCTTATTTTAGTAACTTTTTTTTGGCATGATTAGAGCAGTGATATATACAGGACATTTTGGAACATAGTGTTTAGATATTTTAGAACATTTTGACAAAAAATAAAGCTAATTTATTCAAAATTTATTATAATAATCTGTTTTAATCTCCTAAGTAAAGTTGTAGAGCATTAGACGGAATATATAATTATATATTTTTTATAAAAATATTTTAAATAGTTAAAGCTAAAATTAATATTTCAGATCTTGAATATTTTTAAAAACATGGCGAGATAGTCAAAACATATATCACTAGGTTAGAGTACTAAAGCTTTAAAAAAAACAACTTTAAAATTTTTATAATATGGAACAAAGACTGATTTGTCCTATTTTCAAAATTTTTCATATTGAAATTTAGTGTCTTTTTAAATTTTTGTATTTTGATTAGCTAAAAATTAATTGTTAAAAAATATTTTAAAATTTAATTTTAAAATAAGAAAAAATATATTTGTTACTGATAGTGACAGTTACCAAAATATGATCAACAATGTATCATAATCAAAACAAAAACAATACATCAAAATTTACTATTATTAGGATTGGGGTTAATGTTGAAAATTCATTGTATATGTATTGTTTTTTGTAATATATGTACAAAAAAAATTTTTTACAATTTGCACAACTTCACAATTAACTGTACAGGTCAAATAATATTAATATATAGTACAGTAATATTAAAATCATCTGCCTCATACCTCTGGTTATACTAATCACATGCTTAAGCAAAAAATTATTGAAGCAAATAGTTATTTAATTTCAATAATTTTTTTATAATAAAATGAATTAACTATTTATATAAACTTGTAGATCAACAATAGTAATAATTATTCTTAATCTCTTAAACTATTTAGCGAGCAAGTTTGTATACTAATACTAAAATATAAAAGTATATAAAAGCTAACGGTTAAGAGATAAGAATATACTTTTTATTCATAATATTATAATAAAGCAAATTTTATAAAAGTATATCCTAAATATCAAAATTATGTAATTTATACTTTAGACTTCAATATAAATAATAAAGGCAAATATAAAGCTACTAGTGAATTAAAAAATCAAAATCAAAATCAAAATCAAAAAAAATCATGAAATATAACAAGCCTACCAAATCTGCCTTCTTCATAGTTAAAAAATTAGAAATGGTTAAAATATTTTGAAACTGATAGAAATTTGCAAATATTTTACAATTATATAAAGTAGCAAAGTTTGATAATACATTTATTCGAGGAACTAATATTTTTAAGAAAGATATTGTTAAACGACATGATGAAAAAGATCTAAAGCATCAAAAAGCAAAGGAACAGTTTTCAATATTAGTATTTCATCAATTAAATGATACTGATATAAAAATTATACGGCAAATAAAATATGTTTATTTGTAGCTAAAAAGTATCTTTCTTTTAATATATATCCTGATTTATATAGTTTAGTTGCAAACAGTGACAATATTTCTTCAGATCCTCAAATACTTAAATTTTTTGTACTTAGTTTAGAAGAATCTTTAGAATACAAAGATTTAAATTATGTTGTAGCTCGAAATTTTGCTATAGCAATCATACATATAATTGAAGAAAAGCTTATTGATAAAATGAAGTCAGCAAAAAACTGATCAACAAAAGCAATTCTATAGATAAAAAATATCTAGTTATTGCAACACAATATATGGTATTTAATGTACTAGTTATTTGTTATCTAGGTATAATAAAATTAGAAGACTGTAGAGCAGAATATATTTTTGAAACATTAAAGAAATTTATATTTGACAAAGGC